AGTCTTCATGCCAGGTTGGTTCCAAAGTGGGTACGGTGTACTTCTATCTGAAGCTTGCTATGTACACACTTAAATACCTGTGATTGGAAGCTCCTCATTTATTCTCCGGGCGAACAGAGGCACGCTGGGGTAGAGGCGCAGGCTCTCCTTGATGACCCTTTCGGTGTACTTCAACTGGGCGAGGTCCTGCGATGTCACTGCGCCATCGGAGGCACCGAAGACCTCGGCCACCTCCTCGGCCAGGCGGTCTTGGACTTCCGGATTGGCGGCAAGGTTGTAGAAGAAAAAGGACATGGCCGCCGCCGTGGTGTCGTCCCCCTAGAAATTACAAACCGTGAAATACAATTTCGTGGTAAAACGGCAATGTCGGGCATTGTGCAAAAGCATAGGACATTGTATAAAATGTGTGCTTGTATGCACTCCACAGTTATTAGCACTGTGCCTGCTCAACTTGAGAACAACGTGCCTGACCGAGACGGGTCCTAGGCACATATTTAGAAACTGTGTGCCTCCGTGCTTTCTATTTAGAACAGTTTATGCCTGTGGGCACACTTTTTGAAAAGTGGCCCCCCGTGTACACGTTGTGTTTGCAGAGCAGGTTGTCATATTTGTTTCATTTTTCAGCAAGATATGGAAAATTGCGCCCCCGGGATGACAGTGGCGCCCTCTCTAACGAGTATTAACCTAATCGAGACCCATGGAAATGTTTCTCCCCCCGAACATGAAGGTGTCCACCTCCTCCTGGATGTCGGAGTCGCTCAGGGCGGCGCCCGCTGAGTCGCTGGCCTCCAAGAGAAGGTCTAGGAAGGCCTCCCGCTTCTTAAGTCCTGGAAAGGAGAGACACTCATCTCAACCCGTTCTCTCGGACTCTAATGTCGGCCTCGTTGTGTTTGGCTACAAGGCAAAATAGTGTCAAGGTCTCCCAGGCAAACACTAGATTTAAAGAAGTGTTTGCCCGGGGAAAACAGGACACCGTTGTTGCATGTTGCAGTGTCCGATCAATACACACCCAAGTCTTTGTCTGAGATGGACACACTGCCCTTGCGTCGCTCTTGACTTTCCTGGCGTCTGCTTTCGATGCCCGGGCAAGAAAAGTTCACTTTAGCCCTTAAATGTCTGACCCTTTCTTACTGGCAAGATTTGGTCTTGGATTTTAAACATCATTAGCAAGTCGTGTGTAACCCCCAAAAAATTATTGTTATAGCTTCAAATAAGGGCTCTAAGTTGGGTTTGTACACTGTTAAAAAAATTCTACAAATTCAGACTAAATAGTCAAAAGCAGATTTTTACAATGTTGGTCTGAATATTCAGAGTAAGAATTGCTCTGAAAGATAAGACTTTGAAATCTGAAAATCATAACTCAGTCAGTCTGATAATTTAGAAAAGAGAATAGCTGAAATTCAGACAGCAATTTTTTTTATCGTAAGTGCTTCTTTAACACTAGAACCGCTGACTTTTTCGTATACCTAGAACCGCGGAAGGGGTCATTTTGACCCCCATTTTTTCTGCCCGTATTTTTTTATTTTGCTCATGTTATGGGCCCTTAAGGCCAGGGACAGGTGAAAAAATTGATCTCAGAAACTGCTGGTCCAAAACTTCTTAATTTCTGTCAAAATCTTACTCCTAATAAAAAAACTATTTCCCCCAAAAATCCCATCCCATAATATCAAGCGGTTCCTGAGATACAGGCTTTTTAAAATTTTGTAAGTGTTTGTTAGAAAATTCCTGTGCGTTTCCCTTTTTGGTTTATTGACCTGACCGACATATTTTTTTGTTCGTCTAAGTCCAAAGAACAAACGCAAGTGAAAAATTTTAGTTTCCGGCACTGATAGCAAATCCCAAAACTTTCAACTTCGACATTTTTAAAAAACCAAAGATTTCCCTTTTTTTTGAAAAAACCAATATCCAAAACACCCAAAAACCTACTTCGGGGTGGAATATAAAAAAACTGTCACTTGCGTTTCCTCGCAATAACCTACTGAGTCAGTGGAAAAAAAATCATTGACGACACTTCAAACTGTATGCGCACAGGGCCATTCAAATGTTGAAAAAAGACTTCGGAGAAAAAGGGGGTTTAAAGTTTGGTGACAGATTTTTATGGATTTCAGCCAAAAAAATCTTCTTGCGCATACTATTTTGTCGTGAAAGGTTGACCTGGATATTTTTCACTTCTTCGATTCATTTTTTAAAGATACCAGCATGCACAACTGAAAATGTCCATTACATTATCATTGGCAAGCTTCTTAAGCATGCATTTCACTTAAATTGATCAACAATGTACAAAATAGACAAGTTTTAGCGACTTCTTAGATAAAAAAGCATGTGATTACTAATATAATGGAAATTTTGAACTAGGCATGCTGGAATCTTCTTAAAATGAATCGAAGAAGTGCAAAATGTGAAGATGAGCCTTTTACGTCAAAATAGTATGTGCAAGAAGATTTTTTAAGATACGGCTAAATAAAGCCAAAACAGTCCAAACAAGACAATTCGACTGGGTTCAAGACCTGGCATACGCCTTCGAAAATCAAATCGTAGTCTCTTCATGAGCTCATGGTCTCTTTGAAGTATGATTTCATATTCCCAACAAATTATGACAGTGGGGTTCATTTTGAAAATGGCAAGATTTTCACCAGAACCTCCCCTTGATGGCAAAACGGACAATTTTACTAAAATGTCGGAAATGCAGAAGTGTGCTTAAAGATGTATTTTAAGCACTTCCAGGTCCCGGATAGTTGAAGTCCCGACAGATCCTGAAAGAGGAAGGTCCAAAGGACCATTTTCCACCCAGAACTCATTTCATTAAATTTCACCAAACTTCTTCATTTTTCCACCTGTCCCTGGCCTTAACGATGTAAAATGATGTATCTGAGATCAACAATGATATTTTGAATTATATAGGGCCTTAAAAGGCCAAAGGTAGGCAACCCGCATGGCACGAATAACCTGTTTTGCTCCTTTTCTACCATTTTTGGCCCGTCCCTTGTATTTTTTTGTTAAAAAAATGACGGAGGGACGGAGTATGATCCATGCCGCGCGTCCGTCCGTTCGTTCGTCCGTCTGAGGACTTCCCGTGGTCCGATCTTGACCAAATTTGATATGCAGCCTACTTCACTGGTAAAACTGGAGCGTAGTTGTATGCTTCATTCGAGCATACGACTACGCTTGAAGACTTTACGCTTGACGTCAAGCGTAGAGAAGAAATCCTCCCATGCATTTAGATAGGCGGGAGAGGGGCGAAATGGAGAACTACGCTTGAAGCCGAGCGTAGTTCTACTACGCTTGAAGAAAGGCGTAAAAGTACGCTTGAGTTCTACCTGTGTTGGGTGACCCTTAAGAACCGCCCGCTGGCAGCAAATCCGATCCGAGCCCCGGGGGCGCTGCTGCAGGTGCATCATGGTCTACCTTAGGTCGAGGAGGATTTCGGCAACGGATACAGCTAGAAGAGCATGAAGGGAAATTTTTGGAATCGGGGCGACGAGACAAAACCAACGGTGCCAGTTTCAAGCGAATCGGAGAGGTTTGAACCCGGGTTCAAATCCCAGTGGGGTACATTTACTCTACAAATCAAAGAGTGTACATGGTACGCTCTAACTGGAGCATGCCTGCAAGCACGCTCTAGCTAGCGCATGCCTGCCAAGCATGCACTAACTAGTGCATACATGCCATGTACACGCTTCCTAATGCAGAAAACTCCCTATCCCTTATGCAGTAAATGTATGCTTCAGTTAGCGTGTACCTGGCATGTATGCACTAGTTAGTGCATGCTTGGCAGGCATGCGCTAGTTAGAGCGTGCTTGCAGGCATGCTCCAGTTAGAGCGTACCATGTACACTCTTTGATTTGTAGAGTAGAACATTCTTTTTATTTGAAGTTTTTGCATTGTTTTTGATGTGTATGAGGGTGCTGAGCTAATTTTTGCTGATCTGAAAACATCTATTTTGACCCCAGACTCAGGTTCAAGTCCCGTCCGGATTAAAAATAGGCGAAATTAGTACATTCCTCAATGTACGGGACGGGCAAAAGTTGCCGATGTATATCGCAACTTTTCCTGTTATTCAGTGTGGGGATGGGTACAAAGTGACGTAGATTTTTTACCAGATGATACCTTCACACTTTAAACGTATCTAAAACTATTAGACACATAAAGGTGTCACCGTGCTTTTACTGCTGAGTCCAGAAACCAAGCGGTATCCTAACAATAATACAATAATATTAGGGTGGTGGCTGCCGGGCGGGATCGTGAGTGTCGCATGGCAGACAGTCTGCTCGAAACATCGACAATACCTCGCGGGTACAGCGCGAGCGGCACCGGCCAACAATCCCCTGTCCCCGGGTACAGCGCGCACAGAACAGCAACAATGTCTCACGGCTCGGCCGGTGCAAGCCACAGCTCGGCTCGCACCGACATTGGCCAGCTCGCTTAGGTCCATGAATATTATTGGGCTATCTATTTATTTCATACACAGTTATAAAAAAGCCCGAACTACTACCTCGAAGAAAACCAAACGAGTATCATCTGCTTTCATTAACGTTCATTGAATGAGATTTTTTTATTCTACAGATACCTTACGCGGAACACACATATCTTGCATACATTTAGGCGTTTGCTCGGCGGGTCGCCTATGCCGTTGGCCAAGTTAGGTCTCCCAGGGCAGTCCATAGCACTCCCAAATGATTCACCACTAAAATTGACGCTTGTGACGCTTTTTTATTGCCAAAATTCGAACTTCCTGAGTGCAAACAATACAGGGGTCAAAATGACCCCTGCCGCGGTTCTAGGTATATTGTTGTCCTACGCCCACAAAAATGGTCCGACAGCGCCGAAATTTCACTCAAATGTTCTTTTCTGGTATTTATAAAAAGTCAAAAAGCCCCAAATCCGAGAAGAAAAAAATAAGTCAGAAAAATTTATGACGAAAATTAAAAGGGGTCAAATTGACCCCCTCGTCGGTCTAAGCATTAGACTTTGCGATGAGAGAATTGCGCCTAGAACTGTACCGAAACTTGGTACCGGCACTGTGACTTGAACCCCAGACCTTCGGGTTACGAGGCAGCCAGCTTATCCATTTTTATGACAAAAAAAAAAACAACTTTAATAATAGTAAGTTCGTGGGGAACAAAACCATTTGAAAACAAATTTAGTTTGTGAAAATTTGTCTGGGCCACGTCAACTGAGAAAATTTGCTTGTATTAATTGTTGACGGAGCAGATAAAAGACCCGGCCAGACGTATAATAAATTGTTTAGACAGTTACACATAAGTATCACACAGGGGCATACACACACGAGGAGAGAGATAGCAAATTTAAAGTAGTTTCATAGCTAATGGGCCTACGGTGAAAGGGCGTATATTTTTATACCAAACTGTTCACGAGAACCTCCGCTACACGTTGGTGTGTTCGAAAAGTATCGTTAATGCATTAGTTTGCAAGATATTTAGAGTTAAAGTTTGGGTATTTTAACATGGGACCTTACGGGAGAGCCGCGGAAGGGCCCCGAAAATTTCATATCTTTCAGTTTGTATACGGTGAAAAGTCTCCAAAAAACTAATCGGCGGGTTCATAATTTCATGAGGAACGCGACGGTGTAAATGAAAGTACTCCTTCATGCACTGTAAAAAATATGTTGTGAATTTACGACGGAATATTTTCCGAAGGGTTTTTGGGAATGTCCAAAAGTGCACTGTAAATGTTTCTTTCCTACAGGAACTTTTGTAAATCAACGTAGGTTCGTCGTTAATTTACGAAGGTTCTTTGTAAATTTACGAAGAATAATCGTATATTTACAAAATCTGTCGTAAATTTACGAAGGGCGTCGTAAATTTACGACGGGCTTCGTTAATCTACGACGGGTCTTCGTAAATCTACGGCGGACCTTCGTAAATAAACGAAGGAAGTGTTGGCAATTTTTTTGCCGAAGGATCCGTCGTTAATTCCAGACGTATAATTACGAAGAATCTCTGTATATTAACGAAGTTTCTTTGTTAATAAACGAAGGTTCCCTGTAAATTTACGAAGGATCTTTGTAGATTTACGAAGGTGCTTCGTAAATTTCCATTGTGATTGGAAAATCAGCAGAGATCTTTCAAAAAAATAACGAAGGTTTTTGTAAATATACGAAGAGCTTCGTAAATTAACGAAGGAACCGTTGGCAATTTTTTTGCCGAAGGATCCGTCGTTTATTCCGGATATTAATTTTTACAGTGTGTGCTTTTCAGAGACATATTTGTATTTAAAGAGCCAAAAGCGGGTCCGATCGGCGGCAATGGCGCCGGGTCCTTCCGGTCGGCGCCGCAGCGCTAGTGGCGCGCGCACTCAAACCACTCGGACGGAATGCAAGCTGCTATGTAATTATTTCTCAGCAATAACTTGACCAAGAGTCCTGGAACGTAAGAACGGATATTATATGGGGTTATTCCTAAAAGAGCAAGAGAAATTTGTGCTTCGGAAAGTCCATTAAATACGAAAGAGCGGGGCTACCTGGGACCGAGTAGCATTGCCAACCTGACGGCCCCAACTCGCAGTCTCTTCTGAAGACACAATATCTGCACAAACAATCTGTTTTTGTACGTCAATTTTTATTTTCGCGATCTAAAATGTCTTGATAATTTGAGGGAATGATTTTGGTCGTCGTTAGACTGTCATAATATTTTTTACTAGCTCCGCCATTTTCGTGTTTGGAGGTTCTCGTCAGGACAAAACCTAGTCAAGTGCAGAACTTTTTCGCCTATAGATAATTGCTATTTAATACATAATACAAATCAAAAAATTCTAAAAATGTTTTAAAGCCCAAATAAAGTGGCTTTAGCACCAAAGTGCTTTTTTAAAAATAATTGCTGATTATTTTCAGTCGGTTTGTCAGTGGTAACAGTTGTGCACTTGACTAGACCCTTTAGCTATGAAACTACTGTAAGAAGGAACCCAAATCAAGAATCAGATCGGAACTAACTCAAGAGGGGTGACAATGAGAGGTTTGCAGCCTACATACTATCAAGATACCGGGAATCACTCAAGGTGCGCAAATTTATTACCTTCCTAAGGAGCTGTGGCACAATTAATTTCACTTTTAACACTGCGATCTATGAACAGGAAAATGAGGTGCTTCTTAAACGGTATTGGAAAAAATTAATATTTTACCCTCGATGCTCAATGAAGCAAAAGAGGATAAGACAAAGACGACGCTCCTAATAGAAAAATCCTAACTGTCAGTGCACTGTTATTTGACTTGCGATACAGACCGCACTTTCTGCGCAATACAAATTTCACAGCACTTTTCTGTGATGATCATTGCTAAAAGGTGTGATGAGCTACAGTATCGCAGAATTTTGTAATGATCATTGCAAAAAACTGCAATGATAACAGATTTTGTGTTGTCATCATCACAGTTTTTTGCAATAATTTCGATCCTCATTGCAGAAAGTTGCGATGATCATTGCAGAATTTTGTGCGATACAGAAGTCATTGCATCTCAGGAGCAATGATTCGTGGGAATCACATTTCGGATATCATCGCACGTTTTTGTGTTGAAAGTATCGCAACTTAGATAACAGTGTGCAGGTCCAAGACAATCCTAACCATCAGTGCCATGGATAAAAGTGGATGCTCATGTGAATGGCCACGATGGTTCCAAGCTCCACCAGCAGATCCGCCATTTGCTTTACCCAAGGCATAAGTACTCACCTCTCGAGAATATTTGTGCAGAACTTTAAGAGCGGCGTTTAAGGTCTTGCTTCCCTCCGTTCTGTTATACAACCAGTCGTTGCCAAGCCATGGCTGCATGGTTCGCATGTGCACTGAGAGGAGTGCACTGCAAAACAGAAATATCGAATAAAACTGAAAATAAAACTTAGTTGTTTGGTAATGGTTTTTGTGAACATGATTGACTGGCTAAACTTTTATTACATTGATAGGGAGACGAAAGATTGTTAAGAAACTGCAAAATTTTGTTCCTATTTTTTATGAAGTTGACCAATTTTGAGAAGTACTTCGATGGATTCCAGTAATTTTTAAAATTTGGGGGAATAGTGATGTACAGAGTTGGCTGCAGTTGTTCCCCTTGATTCAAGCTAAATAGTGTGAGACTGACCCAGACCCGAGGGGTGAATCACTCGGCGTTCTGGTGTACACATGAGTACATGAGTACGGGTGAGTACACCTTGCTTTGCTCATAAATTTCACAATTTTAAAAGTTTTAAGGCATTATTTAGCGTTTTTAACGGCAGTCAACGTTAAATCAGTCGAAAAACTAGAGAATTTCACCTTTTTAAATCTTGTGAGTACACTGAGTACGGGCAAATTTGTACACATGAGTACACTAGTAATTCACCCCTCGCCCAGACCCAGACTTGGATTTGGAGAGTGCACTCACTCTCTCAGCCTTTTACTGACTTTTTCTCATTAGCTTACGCATTTCTGTAAGCAACCATAATACTTAGTATTTTTTGTCAGTATTACTTAGCAATTGCTAATTACTGAACTGATATTACCGTTTTCTTAGTAAATTACAAAGAAATTTTAAAGTATTTAACAACCTAATACTAAGTATTATGGTTGCTTTCAGAAATACGTCTGCTAACGAGAAATAGTGAACGGCTGAGAGTGCTGGTAGCCAACGAATGTGACGTCATATTCGTTCGAATGTGAATTTCGTCACGTTCGATTGAACATGATGTCACATTCGTTTGAATGTTGATCCACATTCAAACGAATGTGACACCCTACTTTAACGGCCGAGTCACGTTCAAAAGAGTGTGACATCATATCTAAACGAACGTGACAAAATTTACACTCCAACGAATATGACGTCACATTCGTTGGCTACCAGTGTGGAACTGACTTATGCTGACTTGTGCAACTACTGACAAAATGAGCAAAACGTCAACGTGCTGTGCTAAGAGTTGGTCAGGCACGAACGGTACTCGTGGGTTTCAAAGACTCAGCGCGTTCACTGGCACGAATACGGCATGAACTTACTCGCTGACGGCAGAAACGTACGGCGACTTGGAGTCCTGTTGTGCGTTCACTTTAGTCCCCATGGCAGTTTCTGGAAAAATAAATCATGAAAACATCATCGGTATCACCAATAACTGCAAAACGGCGAAACTTCTTACTGTTACAGAGGCATGATTACACTGTTATTCAACAAATGCGATGTCAATGCCTTAATGTGAATAATGCTGTTACGTTTAAGTATGATGCCACAATCGTTTGCAGGTTGATCCACGTTCAAACGAATTTGACACACTCATTAGACGACCGTGTCACGTTCCAACGATTGGGACATCGTATGTAGAAGAATGTGACAAGATTCACATTACAACGAATATGACTTCACTTCACATTCTTTGAACAACATGGTACCAAGGTACATACAACCACAACCACTTCTACTGAAAAAAAAAAAAAGACTTGCGCTGCTCACCACATATGATGTCAAGCGTGCATAGGGTGATGAAATCGTGGATGTTGATTGTCTTGCCATTCGTAGATAACAGTTTCTCGACCAGAATATTGCCGTTACTGTCGAACACTTGCACGAATTGATCCAAAATACGGAAGTGGAAAGTTGGTGTTATTAATTTTCTTCTCATGTGCCACTTTTGACCTGGAATGCACCGTCAATGATGTTTTACTTGGTAGCTTTTTGATGCTTCAATCGTGTCTTCATTGAGCGTACCTTTGCTGGTGAGAAGTCCTTCTCCAAGCCAGGGATGCAAATGACGGTACACGTTCGACTTTTCAATGTGCTTAGAGCCACTCAGAAGAATCTGCGGCATAACAAAGATGAAAAATGCATTTAAAAACCAATTGCTGTCACCGCATTTGCAACTAGAGGCTGAGCTAGAGCCACATATTTTCCAGTACCTCAACATCCTCCGGGTTGTTGAGCACAACAACGGCATGCCCAAGTCCGAGCCAGAGGCGGTATATGCTGCCGTATTTCCTCGTCCAATTGCTGATCGCCTCTGTCTGATCTGCAGTGGAGTCAGGACAACGCTGTTAAAAGGACTTAACTCACACTGGAATACCACGATGCCAAAATGTTGCACTGAACGATCACTCTAAATTTATTACGTTGTAAGGCATATTACGGTGAATATTTCCTCCACAATACAAACGACATTCGTCAAAATATCTTAAAGGTACAGTGAATCCTCAAAGGTATGTTGTAAAGCCAGCTGCAACTCCGTAATATAGGGAATTTTTACTGCAACATAGAATATTTTCACTGTGCGAATTTTATAGTTTTGACTTTTCCTGACGGACTTACCGGTTTTGAACGTCCATAAGATCTCCCAGGAGTTGCCTATAATCGGCAAAGCTGGAGGGCCAGGGATCAGGTCCACGGACTGCACCCACTTTCGTCTTCGATTGTAAAAATGTGTGGCGATCGCCAGCGCCGCTAAAACCAACAATGCAGTAACTAGCTCCATCTGCAAAGCAAAGGTGAGGCGCATGTGAAATTTTGTATCAAAACTGACCGAAGTATCATCAAAAGCACTCTACGCCGACTTAAATTTAAGGAAATAAGTGTCAGAAAATGGGTTCATTTTGCTGGGCGGCAGAGGGCGGACGGTCTGGTGGCACAGCAAATTTTAATTTGTGATGAATCTATATGCCCCAGACCAACTTTTCGCAGGCAACATCGGGCAGGCATTGGTCAAGTACCGGGCAACTATGCGCAACTACGGGCAACTGCCGGGCAACTACGGGCAACTGCCGGGCAACTACGGGCAACTGCCGAGCAACTCGGGGCAACTGCCGGGCAACCACCGGGCAACTCCGAGCAACTCCGAGCAACTCCGAGCAACTGCCGGGCAACTATGGGCAACCACCGGGCAACTGCCGGGCAACTGCCGGGCAACTGCCGGGCAACCGTGCGCCCGAGCACAGCTCGCGGGCAACTGAAGGAAGATGTCGGAAAACATCAGTTCAATAGGTCGGTTTTGACACCCCTTTTTAAAGGCGTAGCAAAAACATGCTAAAATCGACCTATTTTATTCTGCAGATCAGCCATTTCGAGTCTAAACCTATGACATATGGGTATCTTGCTTTTCATCTCGTTGAGATGAATCCATTTCCGACATCAGTTTTTCATTTCCACATATTTGATTTTATAAACTTAGATAACACATAAACTTAGATTCGAAATTATCAAGGATTTGAGCTTCGAACATGCCAAAGTTTTCGTATACGTACGGGACACACTCTCAGCCTTTTTCTGACTATGACGGGGCCCCAAGACCCGAAGAATGCCTTCGGGCTGGTCAAACGAATCGGAGAGGGGAAGTGTGTGTATGTGTGTGGGGGGGGGGGGGGGAAATTCGCGGAGGCCTGAGGAGTCCGAGGCAGGTAGCGGTCGGGTTCCTGCACGGTTTATGATACTCTTTTCAGATCCCCTTAAACTTCGTAGTCCGGTATTTTTAGCAGATGATACCTTTACTACTTCAAACATACTTAGAACAATACAAGACACTTAAAGGTGTCAGCTAGCTTTTACTCGAGAGCGGGACAGTGAGTGCTTGATGCACGGTCAACAATGTGCGCGAAACATCGATAACTCCTCCCCTCCCCCGGGTACAGCGCCAGCGGCACCGGGCGTAAACAATGGCACCGTCTCCTCAGCTCGGCCCCGCGCGGCAAGGACCAACATCGACACTCACTCCCCAATCATATATGTTCTAACCCTTATTTACAATTTTATATATAATCACAAACATGCGAGCATACTGTCAAAACTATAGCACACACGACAGTACCAGACGAGTATCATCTGCTTCCATGAACGTTTCTTGAATGGAGATTTTTAGTACTATTGACAGAAAAGAGGTGAAAAATCAAATATGTGGAAATGAAAAACTGATGTCGCAAATGGATTCGTCTCAACGAGATGAAAAGCAAGATACCCATATGTCATAGATTTAGACTCGAAATGGCTGATCTGCAGAATAAAATAGGTCGATTTTAGCATGTTTTTGCTACGCCTTTAAAAAGGGGTGTCAAAACCGACCTATTGAACTGATGTTTTCCGACATCTTCCTTCAGTTGCCCGCGAGCTGTGCTCGGGCGCACAGTTGCCCGGCAGTTGCCCGGCAGTTGCCCGGCAGTTGCCCGGTGGTTGCCCATAGTTGCCCGGCAGTTGCTCGGAGTTGCTCGGAGTTGCTCGGAGTTGCCCGGTGGTTGCCTGGCAGTTGCCCCGAGTTGCTCGGCAGTTGCCCGTAGTTGCCCGGCAGTTGCCCGTAGTTGCCCGGCAGTTGCCCGTAGTTGCGCATAGTTGCCCGGTACTTGACCAATGCCTGCCCGATGTTGCCTACGAAAAGTTGGTCTGGGGTGGTTCACTCCGCCCAGAAAACCACTTTAAGTCACTGAAAATTTGTCTTCTGCCGTCTTTTTTATCTCGTTTTTTGTTGGTATGACTTAATGGGATGTGACAGGAAGCTGAATGTCAGTGAATACCGGCCACAAGGACATATCCAATAGACCTGCAGAATCTGAGCCGAATCGGCCGAGCCGTTCAGGAGTAAGTAGTCCGGACATAATATAGACAGACAAAACTTTCCAACCTTACCCGAGTGACAGGCTTCGCTTTTCTTCGCTCACACAAAAATAGGGTAAAGTATACAGTTACCGTCAGTTTAAGAGCATCACTTTCTTTTCAAGGGCCTCTAGGGTAGGTTATGACATTTAGACCCGTGCGACTTGTTCCAGACACCTCACAAGGATCTAGTCAACGAAGTGGCTGATAAAGATTTCACGAAAAACTTTTTGTGTCGCTCTTATTTGACCTGAGAAAATGGTTACCGAAAACACAGTTATCGGCAGCCAAAATACAGTTATCGGCACCCAATATGACAGTTATCGGCACGCCTTGTTTAAAAGGCAAAACATGACCGAAAGTGACGAAAATTTTTAACAGTCGTCACAGGCACTCTATATCACCCCTCGACATGTCACGAACCCCCTCTCTCTTCTGTTATGCCTCTTGGGCTCTTCTTTTTAGACTCACAGACTACTAGCACCATGAGTTGCGAAAACCTTCCAAAGCACCGAGGAGGACATCTCGTAAATCACGTAGATCACTGGGAAAAAGTGATCCGATTTCGTTCAAATTTAGTAGGGGTCCTCCTATGGTCTAAATGAACCAGAATATTCACTCCCCAACGATGCCCGAAACAGCAGAGAAGTTTGAGGCCACCCTGACGATAACTGTGTTTGGGGTGATTTCTTGGGTACAGTTATCGGCACCCCCCGATTGAAGACAAGCAAGAGGAATTTCTGTGCGCCAAGCACAGTTTGCCCTCTTCAATAGATGGGGAGAAGGAACCTGGCAAAGAGAATAGTTTATTCCCGCCCACATTCACGAATTTACACTCTAAAAAAAATTGTGGTAGAAATCCTATAAAAGTATCGGACGCATTTAACCTATTCGGTATAGGATTTTTCCCACACGGGACATGGTAATTTTACCATATGTCGATATGGCAAAAATCCTATACGTGTTGTTGGGTTTCTACTATATTAGGGTGTGGGAAAAATCCTACACCGTGTATGGGAAAAATCCCATACGACTTGTGGGATGTTTTCGTTACGTGAGGTGGTGAAACTCCTATTCAAGCATAGGAGAGCTTATTTACTGGATCATAGAACATCACTCGGGAGAACATGGCATCACCTCTCTCGGGATGGTGTTTCAAAAAATGACGTAGTGAGGACTCCAGTAGAGGTGACCTCCAACTAGAAGGACAGAGCGGTCCTTTCCAAGCTACTCCAATACGAGATGGACCGCTTGGCCATGAAGAAGATCTTGCGTGCACCCAACCTAATGGCCGACCGCAGTCGCCAGCGAGTGGCAACATGGAAATACGTTTTTCTCGACTATAGTGTAATATTTTGTTTAAAACTGGAAGCCAATGGCTAGGGCTGACACTTACTTAGGTAACAAATGATATAGTTGTCGAAAATTATTTACTTTAGTATCATTAATCGGAAATACTTGTTGGTGAACGGGCACGGCGCTCCAAGCGCCACCTAGCGGCAGGTTTGTGAAACCTGGCGCCAGGCGGCTAACAGTGGACCAAACCCTTACCCCAGTCACGTTTTACAAGGTAACTTAACAATAGACGATGTCATAATGCTTTGGAGCGCTACGTTTATTGTCAGTCTCATTATAATGTCACGTAAAATTTCGCGAGGATTTAAAACCATGGCTCATTTATATAGATAGTTCTCAGAGTTGCCGCGATTATCAGAGACGAACCCATTTCAAGTTTTACTGAAGAAGTCGAAATAATCGAAAACCATATGTGATAATGGGGTAGAACAAGATTCAAAATAACTTTAAACCGGTGTTAACGAATCGTCTAGTGCTAATTTCTATCCAACGGTTTGACGCACATGAGCTTCTGTTTACTTTTCTCGGGGCAGTTTTGCCGCCTTAGTCCTTGTGCGTGCAGCCTGTTATCATTGAATATCCGTTTTGTTCCCCTCTCTCCTGAAAAGATTTTTCAGAAATGTTTGGTATTCTTACTAATGCGTTGTAGGAAAAGCACTATACGACGGCCTGAAGTAATAGGATTTCTACTAAAAAGTGTGGCAAAAATCCGATCACGAGTAAAGGAAATCAAATTCCTATACTCGGTTCGGATTTTTACCACACCGCGTTGGCAAAAGAACGAAAAGCATAGGAATTTTCCAAATCACGTATAGGATTGTCGATTCCCATACCGAAGTTGGTACTTTTACCATACGACGGTGTAGTAGAAATGCCATTATTTTTTAGAGTGTAACGAAAGATTGAACCCCTGTTCCTAGCATAGAAGATAAGAACGGGCGGCCGAAGCGGCTTCATTCTGCACTTGACAACAAACGTGGCTCTGTTGGCTGACATGCTCAGTCAAACGCGATGCTGTCTCGGTCCTGCATGCTCAAAAGGTGTCTCTAGCGACCTGCATTGGCCGCATCACTAACGGACGCGTACTTGCAGAGCAGGACCCAATTATTTGCCGAGATGACGATAACTGTACCCCTGCCGATAACTGTATAGTTTACCCTATTTAAAGAGTTGATTTTGAATGTGAGATTTCAAAACACAACAGAATTAGTACATTTTTGAACTGGTCCATCCTTTTAGATAGGACTTATCGATTGGATTTTAGCGTGTACTTGCAAAACATACTCATACAGAGCGTGTGTTGCATGCTGTTAACAAGCGTGTATACTCTACAAATCAAAGAGTGTACATGGTACGCTCTAACTGGAGCATGCCTGCAAGCACGCTCTAACTAGCGCGTGCCTGCCAAGCATGCACTAACTAGTGCATACATGCCATGTACACGCTAACTGAAGGAGACGTTTACTCCATAAGGGATAAGGAGTTTTTTGCATCAGGAAGCGTGGACATGGCATGTATGCACTAGTTAGTGCATGCTTGGCAGGCATGCGCTAGCTAGAGCGTGCTTGCACACTCTTTGATTTGTAGAGTACATACTATGTACACACTTTAGTTTGCAGAGTGTATGCGCCTTTGGCGGTTTACCATGTCTTACGATTAACGTCAAAAAATTTTTTCCACTCCGTCAACTGACCACGCATTTAGTTTTGTTTTAGACTGACGCAACTTTTTGGAGTAGTTATTTGTGGTCCATGTAACTATTATCACACTGTAAAAATTTTTTTTAGTCAAATTCCTATACATGTATATGAAGCTATTTACATATACACGTATAGGAATTTTACCATGCACTCCTATGGTAATTTTCCTATACATCAGTACGGGATTATAACTATTACGTGTATAGGCGTTCTCCCATCCGTTGTATAGGAATTTTCCTAAACATCGGAATGGCGTAACTGCAATGCATGTATGGGATTTCCACCACAATATCCAAATTAGACGGCTGAACCGGATGAACTGTCAGATATTTAATACAACGGCCGAACTTTACGCCGTAATAGATCGTCGAGCATGGATCACTACTGATCCTTCATCACGGTCTTCCAAATTGGCAAAGTTCGACTTTACCAAAAGGACACACAAGGTGAAAGTACTATCACCTCAGTAAAAATGATGTAAGGGCTGAAAGGTCCTCAACTCTCTTACAACGTGATGGGTCCAGCGTTGCCAGAAGCCGAACAGCGCTCGGTGGTACGGGGAGGGGGAAAAGGTGGTACTTCGGGGCTCTTCGGTGGTACGCGAGGGGTGGGGGAAAGGTGGTACATTGGAGCCGTATGGTGGTACGGAGGGGGGGGGGGGGGCAAAAAATTTTCGCTAGGCGTAAACATCGGGAATTTAGAATTTGGCCAAATTGAGAATTCTGAAGAAGTCAGCGGCGGCTCCTCCGGCTGGTGTACAAGCAAGCAAGCCCGTTTTGTTGCCCGCGTCCCTCGGGCGGGGCCCAAAAGTGGCACTGCAATTTCAGTTTCCCGCGCCCGACCTGTCCGACCAGAGCCCCTTTCCTTGGAATAGGTCACGAACGCAGGCAAAGGATTACATGCTCGACTTCTGGGCGGCGACTACCCGGCCCAGGCGCCCGAAAAGTTCCGTTTGCCTGCGTGCGGACCTAATCCGGTGTTTTCCCGGAAAAGGTGGTACGGAATCGCTCGGTGGTGGTACGGTGGTACGGGGCTCGAAATAGTGGTACATGTACCACCAAGGTGGTACGTCTGGCAACACTGGATGGGTCGCGAGCCCCCTGACCTAACCAAATTCCTAGCCGCAGCGTGCACCGAGAAGTAAGTCCGTCGAAACGACACTAGCGCCATCTAGCGGATAATCCGGACAGTGGGCGAACAAGCGGCTTTTGTGAATTGTGTACGTTTTTAACAAATAATCGCACTGATTACGAGTGTTAAGACAAAATACAATAATATGAATCGCTGGTCATGAGGTTGATAGCAAATTCCTTTTTTTCAGTTGGCCATATTCCTATACAGGGCTGCAAAATTCCTATACATGCATAGGAATTACTCAAATTCCGATACATGTACAGGAATATTCCTATACATTTTCAGCCCGAATAACAAAAAACCTATACAAATCGGAATATTCCTATACATGTATCGGAATTTGAGTAATTCCTATACATGTATAGGAATTTTCCTAGACCACTGTATGGTAAAATTCCGAACATTTTTTACAGTGCAGAGAGATATTCCAAGCAACTGGCCGTTTTCTCAAATCGTTTACCCAAACAAAAAGCTAATATTCAAATATCTTTTTTACATTGGCGTATAGGGTTCTAGGTAACCCAAGATCATTCCGTGAAAAAAACTTTGTGGCTGTTTTTTTAAATTCACACTTTTTTTCATAAAAACCGCCCCGCCTTCTATGGGTGAATTGGTGGATAGATTGGAATGAAATTTGGTGTGGATTAGTTTACCACTTATTCCATTAACACCCTTGAATTTTGCCCACCTCAGCAGACAATTGGTATACAATTTTCCATTTTCACCCACAGACCTCACCTTAATTCAAAACGATTTTCAGTATCACAACGGCCTTCTGCTCACTGAGCCAAAAAAGAAAACAACTCCACAGTCTTCACGCTTACGTCAACACTGACAACACTTATTACTTCGCGCACATGTGAGTATCAGTCATCAAAAAGCGAAACAAAAAAAAAACACTTAAAATTACCGCGTTGTTTTCGGGCCCGCAGGCAATGCTCACCAACAATTGCAGCCCAGCAACAGCAGCTGCCGCTTTTATACAGTTCCAAGAAGCAGAAGGGGAAAAAAGCCAGTGTCTTATCGATGGCCAGGGGATCGCAGTGGCCATACGCTGATAGTCCGAAAGTCCGACACGGACTGCACTCTCATTCTAGGAAAAAGATACTACTTTCCGCGAAAGGTGTCTCATTCGCTTCAAGAGGCATCGGCTACGTTCAGGTGTATTTCATTCAAACGCATAGCTTAAATCGCTTAAATTTTGTCAGAATGTCGGAACAAGCAGAAACATGCAAAAAAATGAAACGAACGTGCACAACGTGCCACTACCCGCTTTAAAAACCTAGGGCCCTAACTGCAATTCCTTTAAAGGTGCTTGCCACTTCAGTTGCCCTTAGTTTTGAATGCCAAAATTTCGTGTCCTAGGCCAC